GAAACCAGAACAAGGACATGGTTTGCATGCTCTTTGTCCCTGATGAGTACTGGGAGTAGATGCAGGAAGCAGGGTGACTGTATTCTTGAGCATTCTGCAAATACATTGGAACCCATAATAAGGAGGGGCATGAGATACTCTGGTAAAAAGCCTTTCCTCTCCTCTCCAAACCTATCCAAAGGAAACCATGTGGTGCAGCCGGAGTGAAGTCACCAGGGTGGAGGAGCTACTGGGGGCATTTGTTCCAAGTAACAAGTGGTGAGGAGCTCAGAAGAAGCCTCGCCCGAGGGCTAACAAGGTCATGAGCACTAATTGGGTCTGGGGATACACAGAGGAAGGGGGGGGCAGGATGAGCACCCTGAGGTGCAGCCTGTCTCAGTTCCCTTAAAGCTTCCCCTCCTAGGCTCCCAGGGCCACTTTACAACTCTCCATATTAAACAGCCTTCCTCTACTAGTACAACATCTGTAACACCACTGTGTCATCCTAGGTATATGAAGGAATCTGTGAAAGAGGGCCTATAGCTGATCACCCCCTTCCCAAATCTGCAGGCCCCAGCCCAGTACTTGGCACGTTCAAAATGTGCTGCAAATGCTTGTGGGATTGAATTTCCTGAAAGAATTCAGGCATCCAGAGTCAATGAAATGCACTATTACCTTAAAGGCAAGGAGGCATGAGAAGAGGACTTAACCCAGAGGCTGTGTCCTCCTTAGTGGTCTCCTAGCGGGTAGAGCCAGAGACTGGGATTAAAGCACACTGTGTTTGAAAGGGGGGCAGAGGATCAAAGAAACTCCAGGAGGGCTCTTCAGAAGTGACAGAGGAAAGGAAGGCAGGCAGCATAGGACATTTTTGCCAGGAAGCTCAAGTCCACTGGGAAAGCCCCCCAGGAACTTGTATAGAACCTGTGAGAGCCAGGAGGGAGCAGGGGCAGGTACTGGCTACCTTTCATCAATTGTTGGCTCAGGGCCAGTGAGGAGGGAGGGGATGGTGAGTCTCCTGAATGCTGTGCCACTCACAGTAGGCTCTGGTGGGACAAGAGAGCCCTTGGGCAGAATTCGGGGACCTGCAGTTAGATGTCAGATAGGTATGCAGTGAAGTAGTAAGGTCAAGGGGAGTGTTGCCCAAACTTTACAAGCATCAGAATCCCCTGAGCTCACCCCACCCCTAATCCTCTTAAGGTGGATATGTAAAAATGTGCCTGGTTAACAAGCTCCTAGGTGCCTCAGATCTGAAAGCACACCTCCAGAACCATGGGCTCAGAGGGGAGCAGCCAGGGTCCTAACAGGTCAGGACAGATTGCATGCTGTGCAAACTGCAATGTCTGGGATTGGCAGAGTTTAGTAACAAAGGCAAAGGGGTGAGGTACACTCTGCTTTGCTCTCTGCAATGGAAATCTTCCTACCTCACTCAAAGCCTGTGCGTGGGAGTCGCATGCTTGAGGAGTTGGGAACATACAGCCAACTTCTCTGCACCTGCTGTGGCCAAGCCCACCGCTGCTCTCTCACGCCACCCTCAGGACACTGCCTCCCCACGTGTTCTGTGCTGGTATTTTTTTCCTTTGGGCATGGTCTGACAAGCTTAGACCCCAGATTCAAAGAGTACAAGGAAACAGTTCAGAGGTGATGCAGCACTGAGCTCCATAATTAATTCAGCTGGGGAACAAGCCTGAGCCGCTCTCAGGAAGCTGCTCCTGACTCAGAACTGGCCAGGGAGGCCAAAGGCAGCCCGAATCCCTTCCAGCCTAGCCTCAGAACCATTACAGTGACCTTCAGGGACTCCTCTTCAGCTCTGAACAAGGTAAATCCTGCAGAAGACACCCAAATCATTCAATTATCACCGCATGCCTATTCAGAGGCTGTATTAACCTGAAAAACAGCAGGCCTCCTTGTCCTCTGCTGAAAAAGAAAAAGAGGCTATGAATTTGAAAGAGATTGGGAGGATTTGGGGGGAGGAAAGGGGAGGAGAAAATGATGCAATTATATTATAATCTCAAAGAAATAAAAGAAAAATTTTAAAGAGCACATGCTTGCAGGGAACACAGAAACCTAAATAAAAATTGGTGCTTATTTCCCAATATTAAATTTCCACTTGAAATCAACACAGCAAGTTTCAAAAGACAAAAGTACCTATGACCTCTCTCCAGAGAGGAGCAGAAAAAGGCAGGAGACAGAGATAACAAATTTACCCTTCAAGGAAGCAGAGGCATCCTCGTTTATCTTTTACAGCGATCACCCCTAGCAAAGAGGACAAAGCCCACCCACACACTTCCATTTTGAGACAGGGTCTCTGCCACAAAAGCCAAGAGGTTAGGCCCTCAGACCCCTGCAAGCATCTGAGTTTCCCCACCACTCAGTTTGAGAGGCTGGTCACGAAGGAAAGCTGAGGTCAACACCTCTTAGGAGGTACTTTAATTAGCTGCAGTCCTGAGCTTCATGGTGAGACAAAGAAAAGCTTTAGGCCCCTCACAAATCAGAACATTTTTTTTCAGCTTTCCCAATGGGTAGCCAAGTGACTCAGCATCAGCCCAGTGTGGGCACTATTATTGATGAGAAATCTTCCGCCTGGGTGATATACTGCATACAACACATGCCCAAAGAACAGTGCCAAGTCATACCAGGAAGAAAAGGCGAATTATTCACCTCCACTTTAGATGCAGGCAAATCCTCTCTTAATGCAGGGGCTACTCCATATCAGAAAGACAAAGCCCAGAGATGGGCAGAGATTTATATCTAAGACTCAAGGAATTGTTAGGCAGAGTCTCTTCTTTCTTGTTGACTATTAAAAAGGCAATCAAGTTGAGGAAAGCAGAAGGAAAGGGGGGGGGGGAGGTGGAGAGAAAAATATATTATTTCAAAAACAGCCCCAGAGTGAAAAGCAGCACAAAAGCCTGCAGCTTCTACCTTCTTAGTTAGTACTATGAGCTCCACCTAGAGGTCATTTCTAGAATCGCAAGTTAATTCAAGTTTCGGAAAGAAAAATGTACATTTTCTCCGGTTCAGGGCTAGTACTGACTGGGAAAACTGCTGGATATCCTTGAACAACACCCCGTTTCTTGTCTTGCATTACTGGAACTTCTCTGAACCTTGAGATGCAAGAACTCCTCGGGGAACCTAATGAGATCCAGAAGGACAATTGCCTTTGATATCTGTTTCCGTCAGGCTGCTACTGGAGTTCCTGGCAGATTGAACTCAGCTCAAAGAAAGCAGAGTGTTCAAAGAATACTTATAGAAGGGGGAAAGTGACAGTTCTGGTTGAAATAAAATGAAAGACGGCAAGAAACCCGGAGGGCCAACAGGAACATGTCTAATATTAGAAGGACTGAGAATAGTTTCCTTCAAGAAGAACTCACGGACCACTTGCTTAGAAGACCCAGCTACAAGGCAGTCTTTCCCTAACTGAACACCAACAAGTACTGTAAAGTGATCTTAATTTCTATTTCTGAAAAGCTGACTATAAGCTCACAAATATTCATAACTCGCTCATTCATATGGTTTCTCACTCTCACTCTTGCCCTCCGCCTCCCTCCTTTCTTCCCTCACTCCCTACTTCCATCTCTCTCCCTCTCTCTTCACACCAGTCCATTGTGTGAAAATTGATATTTTAGGACGCCATGCTACAACAAAGGGCACCTAATACACTGATCATTCAACTGCCCAGTACAAGATACATCCTGCCCCACACATCATAAGCTAGCTCTGCAAATAAACCAAGCCTTCAAGAAACAACACTGTGTTGATGCCAAAAGTTTCACCTACCATATGGAGAGTGTCCCCCCCCCCCCCACATACACACACAGCCTGTGTGTTCCTGCCTCCTTCAGCCTGTGCCGTACATGACCTAAAACAGCTTTGACAGATCTTGGAGGGAGGGAAAAAAAAGCAAAATTACCCTTTATGTTCTTCCATTTCAACAAGGGGACTTGGTATTTACAGCATTCCTACAATGAGAATCTCCTTGTTTCTTGACCATAAGGCAAAAATGCTGGTGCTAATGATGACTCAAAGCAGTGGACCTAATGATAATAGTCAGAGGTGGGTGGCTAAAATCACAAATGCACAGACCTCCAACTTAATACACTAAAGCAGGCATTGCTAATGAGGTGCCCAGCACAATTTTGCATGTCTGTGTCCCATTGACAACTGCTCTCATCAGGAAAGTTTCTAACCTCCCTCTAAAAAGAAGAACTGTTCCCAATTTCAGAGCCTCTCAGCTACAGAGTGGCATCTGTAGGGAGTCCAGCAAGTGTACACCTTGGCCCTGACAATTTGAGTTCCAGCTCCAGAATATCTCCAATTCAAGATGGACCCCTTTATTATTTGTAGACAAAATAGCTTGTTCAGAATTTCCCTGTTTATTCCTTTATCTTGTTGCACAGCATCAGAGAATTTTACCAAGCTTCACAAGTACCCACTTGTGACAGGAACTATTTTTTTTCTATTACTCCACAATGGTCTATCACTCATATACAGCTGATATGCATGGTCTTTGGGCCATTTGTGGAACATAATGGGCTAGGAGGTACATGTGCTTTACTACAGGAAAAGACTTGCCTCAGGACATTTGCACACATCATGCACAAATGGAGAAGACACATGGACAATATGGGGTTTTCTTCTTTGCAACTTGAGGGCCCTTCTGCCAGCTGCTTCCCATGGCTCCCCACTGCTCTACATTCTGCCATATCCGATGATGGTTTATAGCAAAATTCGCTAGGCAGTAAGCCATGTGGCTCTTACAGACAGCAATTAAGAGTGAAGGAAAGGCTGAATTACACGGCATTTGAAAATGCAGTTAGAGAAAGAACAAGTCAGATCTTATTTTCTGTTACCTCCTGGTGATGAAATCTATGTGTTCATCCAAAAGCACATACCTACCTCTGGGGTCATTTGCAGCCAACAGCTCAGTCAATACAAAAATCAACTGCACAGTCAATGTCAAGCATGAAAATCCATTAAACAGAAAGTCAGGGGGTTTTTTTTCTTCCATCAAAGGAAATCCTTACCTTTTCTTGAGCTTTTCTTTTTGTCCCTGCATCCATCCATTCGTTTTCTTTCTCCAGCATGTCAATAAAGGCCCAGCGAACACCCTCAATCAATTCTTCCATCTACAAAAAAAAAAAAAAAAAAAAAAAAAAAAAAAAAGCAGCGTCAAAGCCAGAAACTTCAGACAAGGTTCCCTTGACCTAAATCAGGTTGCAAGAAAACTACTTCAAGGTTCAAAATCGGGACAGGGGGAGGGGTTTTTCAGTTTGATTCCATGCTCTGACATTTTTCAGGGAGAAGCATCTGTGAACAGATTTTACAGGGAGGTGGTGGAAAACCCACCAGAAGCTATCACTAGCCAATCACTTACCCCTTTGTAGCTACAAAAGAGGTCTGTCCTCATCAAGGTAACAATCAACTTCAATAATTTAATAAGAGTTGGGGAATGTAGCTCAGTGGCAAAATGCATGCCTAACAAGTGCAAAGCCCTGGGTTCTATCCCCAATACCACACACACACACAGCACTCACATGCACACACATGTGTACACACACACAGTTTTATCAGAACCTGAGAGTGTCAAGCAAAACCACAGGCTGTGTATGGCATTACCAAGAAAACAAGCAACAATTGAAAGAGGTAGTGTTAAAAAAGAATCATACAGGGAGATAGAGCACTCAAAAGGACATTATGCCAACATAAATCAGATTTACGTTAAGACCCCAAATCTCCCTAAATTCAGCGCCAGTAGTGAAACCAAATGCCTAGTCAATGTCTATTACCTTTCTACTTCTCCCTTTCCTTCCTTGCAGGCCAGCAAAGTCTTATTTCAGATCTACAATGATGGGGACAAAGCAGCATCTATAGAAAGGAGGTTTTCTAAAAGGCCTTTTCCTAAGCATTTAAAGAATGAGATCACATCCATGTTGAGGACACTTTTGCTTTGATGACAGCCTCTGCTGGTCCATAGCAGGTGTGAGAAAACTGGGGGAAGAGAGTCACTGACACAGGGGTGCAAGGAGACCCCACCATGTATGTATGCCTCATAATCCCATTCGCCTGCAGAAATGCCTTGGCTTCCTTAACGGGATAGTCAATAAAGAACAAACCCTGTAGTCTGATCCCAGGATTGTATTAATTGTTGAGATTATGGACCTCTAAATCAATTGTTAATGTTCTTTCTAAACATCCCCTTTGTTCTATAAGGAATTGTCGGCATAAAACTCACTCAAAATAATGTCTCTCTGTTTAATAAGTTTTCAGCTATGTTTTCAGTTCAATAACAGTTGTAAGGGAACCAGAGCTGTAAATCAATGGGCTGGGTTCCATCATATGTAAATAAGAACAAACAGCAGATGGGGAAGGGGGGCTCCACAGCTACTTCTTCCCAACTTAGTGAAAACACAAAAAGAAAGAGAGAGCTCAAGTCAGGATCCAGGTGTGACAAGAACATGAGATGACAGGGAGGACAAAGTCTCTTTAACATCATTAAGTCTGAGTTCTCAACTTGGTGAGCATATTGGAATCTTGGGGGGAGCTTTAAAAGTCCTGACAAAAAGTGATTTTAAAAAAAGAAAAGAAAAGAAAGAAAGAAAGAAACTTGGAGCCCACACATCAGGACACTGGTGTCATTGGTCATAAGGTTCAGCCTCGGCAAGTGGGAGTTTTGAAAGTTCTCCAGGTGAGTCCTATGTACAGAAAGGGTTGAACTCCATGAGCATTTCAGGAAGCCACTTATTTATATGAACAAGGAAATTAGAAGTCAACAGTCTACATAAATTCATATAGCTAGTGAAGACCAGAGCCAGGCCTGGACCACAGAGTCTAAATGACAACTGTGAGTTCAGAGTTTCTAAAAGCCTCAGATGTTTTCCCCCATGAATCAGAGGAACATGCCAAGGAAGTAGCAGTTAACTAACAGTCAGATGCAGAAGTAACCATTCCTAACAGGAGGCCAGACAGGAGGGGTACAGAAACGACATGGAGCCTCTCAGAGACTACATCTTTTGCTTATGCAGTACTTAGCACCCTTAAAATTTGATAAGCTCATCAAGTTAGCACATCACCTGCATGCAGAAAGAGCAAAGCTGTCTTCCCAAATCAGAGGGAGAGACCAGAGATGGAAAGAAGTGAGTAAAGTTGACATATGTAGTGATCAAAGAAATGGAACCAGATGATTAATAGCATGTGGAGAGGAGAAAATCAGGGAGATGGGTAATTCCCAGGCTATAGGCAGGCACAATTCAGTGGATACTGCTGGCATTCTGTAAGATGAAAATATGGGAGAAAAAGAGAGCTGGACCATGGTGTGATGAGGAGAGCATGGACATCGAGACAGCCAATCTGTAAAACCCAGTAAAGGAGCTATGAAGAAAAGAAAGGAAAGAGGTGGAGATAGGGATAACCAAGTGGTCTGAGGCTTGGGACTGTGCAATATTTGCTGATGATGATTTTGTTGACATTGCTGCTGCTTGGTGTGTGAGCAATCTGTGTTCTAATACCAGTGGACACACTGGGAAGGAAAAGACGGAAACTATGGCAAAGGCCATAAAAGGTCTCTGAAAGGACAGAGGGGGACATGAGATCCAAAGACTGTATGGAAAGATTCATCTTAGACATGAGGCAGGATTACAAGAGGAAGAAAGGCAGAAACGTCATAAGAATATCAAGATTAGAGGGCATATAATCACATATTTTCTCTGTGAAATTGGATTGAGATGTACAAAAAGAGTTTCTCTTAAAAGAATAGTCTGCTCCTTCATACATGGCCATACAATACACATCCTGGCATCATAAGCACACTGTGAGGAAAAGGGCCTTTGTGTATCAAGCAGAAGAGAAGAATAAAAGGTTTCCTCCCAGTACTCTGGCCGGCATGTAGCATCAATAGGAAGTAGCTAACAAGTAAGCAAAAAGCTGACCATCCCTAAGGAAATATTTGTTTTGAGTAAGATGCAGGAAAACTAATATTTCATTATATTTTAATCAATCAAATGAAACAAAATAAACCACTGCCCAAGTCAAAAAGATCTTCGGCAGTTAGTTTTTGTTGTTTATTTGTTTGTTTTAGATTCCTACAATGAGTCTTGGGGCCATTTTAGCCCTATTGTCTTCAGTGGCATTTTAATAAAGTATACACTTTTTATTAAAACCAAGCTAGGCGGCTTGGTTTCAAAGGAGCTGCTGTGTCCATTTCTGGGCATTATAATAGCTATCAAATGCATCAAAGGCTTAAGAATAGAATTTTCTATAGGTTTTCAAAGCTCTTTGTCTGTAACCTGCTGATTGGCATTCCGAGTGGAAATACACTGAGGCAAACTGATTTCAGCTTATTGTCTGAATGAAGAATGACAAATAGTTTACTCATATGTAGAATTCCATCTCCCCCTCCCACCTCTGTCTTCCGTAAATCAATACTTTGATAACTCACTCTCTTTGTGCCTTTCTTCTATGTCAAAATGTAAGTAAATCACTTCACTTCTTGCCACACTTGGTCTTTCTTTGCCCTTGAGAGCAACTCCGTGTGTTTCTCTCTCTCTCTCTCTCTCTCTCTCTCTCTCTCTCTCTCTCTCTCTCTCTCTCTCTGTCTTTCTCCTCTCCTTTATGGATTTATTCTATAATATTTTCTGTGAAACGGTACTGAACTACCCTAACAGACTTGCAGAACAAGAGAAATATTCAAAGATGATTAATGTCATTGGTTGGCATGTCAATGCAAGTAAGATAATGATTTTAGCATACTGAAACCAGGAAGATAAATCATAGAACGCTTTTGATTTTTATCTTTGGACTAGTCTACAGAGTCACACAATAACATTGCCTTCAGTCAAATTGTCCTCTCCGAGACAGCAAAAGCCTGACATAATTTTTAAGTAAGTAGGAAAGAGAAATAATATTTGTTCACCAAACCTTGACCTAATGCCCCAAGAGCCATCATATAGCATTAATGGAAATCACTTAAAGATGGAGTCAGCAGGTTAAGTTATCCACACAAAATGTTTATTTAGAGTCAAAGACCAAAATGTAACATACAAGAAGTAACTAAAATATTACTGTGATAAAATCTGTCACATTTGGGTCAAGGGCCTTCCAGGTAAAGCAACATTTTGGGAATCATCTGTTTCAGATTTTCTGAATCAACACTGAAAGTACAGTTCATTTGGTTGGTCTATGGCAGTGGTCAGTTCTCTTCCTCAACCATGTCTGTTTCCAAGTTACCTCTTCTGATCATTCTTTCAACCCCATAATTTGGGTCATAATATCTTATATTGGACCACAGAAAATTGCACATATATCTATATCCATGTTATTCTTCTATCATGAGCTTTAAAAAAGGGACTTTCAATCATGTCCTTCCCACTCCCCTTTCTCTCTCTTCTGATATTTCCTCCCCACACACAGGCATGAGAAATTTTCCTTTCATAGGTAGTGACAGTGCATACTGATTCATTTAAGCATATGCCAACAGTGTTTTGTGGTCAGGGGATTCAGTTTACCCCATGAACTGTTATAGTTCCCTTCCAGTCTTTGCTTCTGGCTATAGAGAAATCCTACAAAACCAATTCAAATTCTTACTCACATCCATGAATCCCATCCCGATGTTTTAATCCCTTCTTGGAGTTCCTCTCAGGCTTAAAATCAGAACAATATGAGTATATATTATGTATGATTGTGACTGTTTCCTATTTATATTTCTTTAGTCTCCCTAACAAGATATAGGAATGTTGAAAACAAGAACCATGACTTAGATCAAATGAGACTATAGATATGTAAGAAAGCCAATAGGTATCCTGAAAAATTAAATTTTCTGTAACTTTCATGATTTTGTATATTGTATATGATTTTTACATGATGATTTCATATTTCATGTTCATAACTAATACTGACATTGAACAGATGCTCAGTAAAGACAAATTCATCACTTCATGCTTTTTAAACTCTCCACTGGAAGTTTTAACTAGAGAAACTAGGTAAGAACAAAAAATAGAAGGTATACAAACAGGAAAGGAAGAAATAAAAGCATCCCTGTTTATAGATTATATGATCCTATATGCAGAAAAACCTAAAACTCCATCAAATGACTCATAAAATTATAAATCCAGTAATGTTAGAAGATACAAAA